TGGATAGAACAAACAAAAAACAGAACTCCACCATTAAAAATGCATGCCCCCCTATCAACACAGGAGACCTGAACATCTGATGGAGAGTGGTAGTGAGCCTTTAGGACAGGCTCTGAGGCTCATCAATAAAATAATACATTTCCATTGTATTTCCAATATTTTATACATTTATTATAAATTGTATCCTTTCATTTCTCATATTTGGGTTTATTTACATGAAAAAAGCAATAGTTCAGATGTGGTATCATAGCTAACTCAGGCAAAAAAACCTCTAAGCAAGCTTCCAGTGTTCCATGGCCGAGGTTCACATCTTCCAAACAATGCAGAAGAGACGAGACTTACATACAGAAACGCATTTTTTCGACAGATGTGCATATGGGCATTTGAGATCGGTTTTTGATCCATTTGTGTGCACTGTCATGTGCTCGTGTCGCATTCAATATTCTCTTGCTCTGCATTCACATTGATTTGTATGGAAAATTAAAAACAAACAACAAACTAATGTCAAACTGACCCCAGATGAGATCAAAATCTAGAAAGTTGTCATCTTCAGTATCTCTGATCACAATACAGTCCAATAGAAAATAATTTGCTCTTTGGTGTCAACATCTCTTTGTTCCCTTTGCAAGTTAATACATCACTCTTACCCCTATGTCCCTTATGTCACTACTCCTGAAGTGATGTAGGGGTTGGAGGAAGGAACCAACATGCACTGGGGGACACTTCTGGAAGTGTCAAATGTTGTGGCTGACAAAGGTTGAAAGGCTGGAGTGAAATGCAGGTCATGGGCTGGTGGTGAGGTGGGTATAATTCCTCTTCTTTTGCAGGGCACTGGTTTCTTTAAAGTGAACAACTTTCCACTGATGATGTTACAATATAGACCTATCATGTATCACTAAAGACCTACCTTGTATCACTAAAGACCTATCATACATCAATATAGACCTATCATGTATCACTATAGACCTATCTTGTATCACTAAAGACCTATCATACATCAATATAGACCTACCTTGTATCAATATAGACCTACCTTGTATCAATATAGACCTAGTTTGTATCAATATAGACCTACCTTATATCAATATAGATGCCTCTTTAATCAATATAGACCTATCTAGTATCAATATAGACCTATCATGTATCACTATAGACCTATCATACATCAATATAGACCTATCATGTATCACTATAGACCTATCTTGTATCACTAAAGACCTATCATACATCAATATAGACCTACCTTGTATCAATATAGACCTAGTTTGTATCAATATAGACCTAGTTTGTATCAATATAGACCTTATACCTTAATCTTATTCCTATGCCGCTACTCATGATGTAGGGGTTGGAGGAAAGAACCAATGTGCACTGGGGGACTCCGGAATCGGACACTCCTGGAAGTGTCAAATGTGGAAGTGACTGACGAAAGCTGCAACCCTGATGTGAAGGGGAGGTCATAGGCTGATGGTGAGGTGAGTATAATTCCTCTTCTCTTGGGGGGCACTGGTCTTTTGATCTGGTTACAAACCTGATATGATCTCTTCAAAGTGAACTTTCTACTATTTTAACAACATAGATCCATCTTGTATCAATATAGATCCATCTTATATCAATATAGATCCATCTTGTATCAATATAGATCCATCTTATATCAATATAGATCCATCTTGTATCAATATAGACCAATCTTGTATCGGCATAGACCCATCTTGTATCAGCATAGACCCATCTTGTATCAGCATAGACCCATCTTGTATCAATATAGACCCATCTTGTATCAGCATAGACCCATCTTGTATCAGCATAGACCCATCTTGTATCAATATAGACCCATCTTGTATCAGCATAGACCCATCTTGTATCAGCATAGACCCATCTTGTATCAGCATAGACCCATCTTGTATCAGCATAGACCCATCTTGTATCAGCATAGACCCATCTTGTATCAATATAGACCCATCTTGTATCAGCATAGACCCATCTTGTATCAATATAGACCCATCTTGTATCAGCATAGACCCATCTTGTATCAACTCTTTAATCAATATAGACCTATCTAGTATCAATATAGACCTATCATGTATCACTATAGACCTATCATACATCAATATAGACCTATCATGTATCACTATAGACCTATCTTGTATCACTAAAGACCTATCATACATCAATATAGACCTACCTTGTATCAATATAGACCTAGTTTGTATCAATATAGACCTAGTTTGTATCAATATAGACCTTATACCTTAATCTTATTCCTATGCCGCTACTCATGATGTAGGGGTTGGAGGAAAGAACCAATGTGCACTGGGGGACTCCGGAATCGGACACTCCTGGAAGTGTCAAATGTGGAAGTGACTGACGAAAGCTGCAACCCTGATGTGAAGGGGAGGTCATAGGCTGATGGTGAGGTGAGTATAATTCCTCTTCTCTTGGGGGGCACTGGTCTTTTGATCTGGTTACAAACCTGATATGATCTCTTCAAAGTGAACTTTCTACTATTTTAACAACATAGATCCATCTTGTATCAATATAGATCCATCTTATATCAATATAGATCCATCTTGTATCAATATAGACCAATCTTGTATCGGCATAGACCCATCTTGTATCAGCATAGACCCATCTTGTATCAGCATAGACCCATCTTGTATCAATATAGACCCATCTTGTATCAATATAGACCCATCTTGTATCAGCATAGACCCAACTTGTATCAGCATAGACCCATCTTGTATCAGCATAGACCCGTCTTGAATCAGCATAGACCCATCTTGTATCAGCATAGACCCATCTTGTATCAATATAGACCCATCTTGTATCAGCATAGACCCATCTTGTATCAACATAGACCCATCTTGTATCAGCATAGACCCATCTTGTATCAACATAGACCCATCTTGTATCAACATAGACCCATCTTGTATCAATGTAGACCTCTCTTCCAATATAAAACGATATGAATATAGATCTACTTTGTATCAATATAGACCTATCTGATATTAACATAGGCCTATCATATATTAATATAGCCCACCCTATCTGTTTGAGGGTGACAGCGCTCCCACACTGCATTGTATGTTTGGAAGAGCAGCGTTGTCACCCTAGTACAGAACACCTCACCCTCAACTCTTCTCCATAACATATGGGGTGATGTTCTCTAATCCTAATATACTTCCTGACATCATTGTTTGAGATAACACTGCAGGGTGCACAGGACAGCACTGGACCTCTGTCAGGATCAACAGGTATTTTAATTTTTTGCAGTTATTGAACTGCTATAATAACCAAATGCTTTCAATGGAATAATCAACAGAGCAACAGGGAGGTAAAAAGACAAGTTCATTTTTAGGATTTACATACACTCTCTGCCTTTTCCAGTTCCTAGTTCACATTGTGGAAATTTCCCTGTTAGCAGACTTTTCATACTGTACATTAGCCCCTTAGGGCTCTTCCTGCGATCTGTAGTCATCCAGAATCACCATGGAGAAGTTCAGGAAGCTTAAAACTCAAAGTAGGTAGCAGTTGAAGTGGGTGAATGTTCCCAACATGGATGCAAAGTAATATGTTACTCTAGTAGATGGAACACCCTCCCTCTGGGAGAAGCAGTGCAAGCTACATGCGGTTGCTCCACACTTCCCTCCCTTCCGGCAGTTGATGTGGTTTACTCTGTCGCATGTGGGGAACAACCTGCCAAGAATCTAGTAGTAAGGTCATTCAATTTGTTTGTTATTGCATCATAGGTTTCCAGTGAATGAGTTCCCATTATTAGCAATCTTTTATTTAAAGCCCAGTTCGATTGGCTAAAAGGTATGCAAAGTCCTACCGATTACCACAGCGTAGAAAAGCCTGGCCCCTGCCAGCAAATTGCAAAGGGCACTTGCTATCTAAGCAGCGGTCTCCCTGCACAGGTACAACATGTTCCCTGTTGAGTAACAGCTAGGCCTCTCCAATTAGCAAAGCTAATGCTCCATGATATGTTGGACCTCTGCAGAGGAACCACTGCTTCCACATAAAGAGAGCAAGGGCCCGACTCTGCAGCATGCTGGCAGGTGAGGGGCTTTTTAAGGCTGCTTACTTATTAAAACAAACTGTACAAGTATGCTTGAGCTTTGATTGGTTGGCTAGGTGAGCTTTGCCGGTTGCCTTCGAACATTCGGACACATCCGTATTTCTGAATCCCAATGCGTCCGAAAGTGTCCGAATTTCCGTTTCCCAATTTCGGATCCTGTCCGAATTTTGTTCAAAAACTAAACTGAATCGGACATGTGACTTTTCTGGCCAATCAGATGTGTTTTTCGGTTTATTGTATCCGAATGGGTCTGAATACGAATTTTCATTACGGCAACATGGGAGCCATATACAGTATATACATATAATACTAAAGCTGAGGTTCCTAGACCCAAATGGCATTCAAGATCCGAATTGCATTTGGGAGCTCCTGAATGCCATTCGGGTCTGGGAGCCTCAGCTTTAGTAATATATGTATATGGCTCTCAGACCCGAATGGCATTGGGGAGCTCCCAAATGCAATTCGGAAAATCAGGTCCCGAATGCCATTCGGGTCTGGGAGCCATATACATATATTACTAAAGCTGAGGCTCCCAGATAGTGGCATCACAAGGGAGGTGCGGGGGTGCGACCCGCACCCGGGTGTCACCATTGCAGGGGTAAAACAAACTGTACAAGTATGCTTGAGCTTTGCTGGTTGCCTAGGTGTAAGTCTGACTTAGTAAGGGGTGTGTCAGACCTCTGCAAAGAGACCACTGCTTCCACATATTGAGCAAGGATCCCGCTCTTCTGCTTCTGGCAGAGGACAGGCTTTTCTACTCCTGAATGAAAAGGGACAGTAAGGCATTGAACACCTTTTGTTTTGATGCTCCTTAAATTAATTTAGCTGAAAGTTCAGTTGGACTCTAACAGCTATAGTTATAGACGAGAGTCCAATGGCTAGCGGGACGTAGTAGTATCTCAGCAGCCTGCCGCTCTCTCACAGATGTAGTCTATGGTGTTGCTGCAGTCCAAGTCATTCCATCCTCCTGCTATCATCTCTGTACAGTGCTCTCGACGGTCATAGTTGTTTGGTTCCCCACTATTCCAGCTCCTGGAGACAAGATGGAAATTGTTAGAAGTGGAGCACAAGCCTGTGTATACGTTTGTTAAAGTTTTGTATTTTCAAAAAGATTGTTGATACCCTTTGTTCAGTTGGCCAGAAAAGGTCTACTAGCTGTATGTATTTTGCAATTATTGCCCATGTATGCTTTACAAAACAATCCAGATACAAAGTTGTGTTAGCCAAACAGAGGTAGAAAGTAGGGACGCACAGTTATATCGGCTGCCGAAAAATATCGTCCGAAAATGGCACTTTTGGCAAAATGACGAAAGTACCATTTTTTGCCCGAAATAGCGGTGCATCCGTTCTTTCTCTCCACCCCGCTGGGTGCTGCTCTGTGTCCCAGTAGGGAGGAGAGAAACTATCACAGATCAGGAGAGCGGCGGTGTGGGGGCGGAGACAGCTGCCATTGCTGTCACAGGAGGCTGAGCTCTTGAATCCAATAACACAGAAGACAGGCACAACCAGGTCGCAGAAGGCAAAACCTATACCCGGGCAATAACAGAAAGGGGAGGACAGTATTTATAGGTGGCTGATTGGGTACTTTTCTCCAGCTTACCAGTAGGTGGGGTCAGAGCGCCATACAGTGTTTGTAGATGGAACAGAGGTCAGCACCAAATGCGAGCCCTTCAGTGGCTCCAGAAGTAAGCAAACAACCCAGAGACTGAAGATCCCTGAATCTTCATATGGATAAGATGAGTGTAAATTCATTCATAATAATCATGACATGGAAACTACAGCATACAACTCACGTAAATTCGGGGTTTGTGTTATCCACCCATTTCCAGAGCCCATTGAGTTTCCTCAGCCCAATCCAAAACCTCTTGTTGCCGGTTATCGTCAGCAGTGGCTCCTGTGAGAGACAGAGAAGATATTTCAGGAACAGTTCCAATGTTTTAGAGGATAGAAAACCCGACTGCAAGTTTAATTATCAACAGGATGATAAAAATGAGAAATGAGCCAAATCAATGTCATATGAGCAGTGTAAAGAGAAGAGATGATGAGAAAGGTGGCCAACCACTGTGACCCATCCATGGAGTAACACATGCTGGACATCTTTGCAACTGTCAGCCACCCACCCAGGGCCGGATTTCCCACAAGGCCAACCAAGGCCCGGCCTCGGGGCAGCAGGGGTGTGGAATTTCTATCTCCCGATTCCGGAGTGGGTAGTTGTTTTCTACATTTAGCCCTGCTTTGGGCAAACAGAGCTATATGTACGGGGAAGCCAACGCTTGTTTTGTACAAGTGATCTCGGCGACATTGTATGCAGCCTGCAAGTCCGCCATTCTCCATGGGCGGGGGTTTGGCGGGTAGGGGGTCGCATTGAGCAACCTGGCCTTGGGGCAGCAGAGAAAGTAAATCCGGCCATGCACCCACCCACCCAATTCCACAAGTTGTGGTTTTGGTTAGATTCTCTTCTTTGGGGTAAAAATTAGACATGTGCAATTCGTCTTGTTTTCGGCCGAATTTTCCGAAATTCGAACATTCGGACACATCCGAATTTCTGAATCCCAATGCATCCGAAAGTGTCCGAATTTCCGTTTTCGAATTTCGGATCATGTCCGAATTTTGTTCAAAAACTAAACTGAATCGGACATGCGACTTTTCTGGCCAATCAGATGTGTTTTTCGGTTGAATGCCTCCGAATGGGTCTGAATACGAATTTTCATTAAGGCAACATGGGAGAAGCGTCCATCACCCAGATGGCCGCCGGCAGGCATTAATCAGATGGTCGCGCATGCGTGATGACGTCGTGCATGCGCGAGGTGACGTCACGCACACGCGCGATGACGATACGGCGGGGTGTCACCCAGTCTAGAGACCGGGTGACACAGGAGATTCAGCTTTAGTATTAATATCTGTATATGGGTTTCTGTGGTAGTCTTAACGAATATGCGTTCGTAAACTTATCCGAACCGAATTGAATTTCGGATCCAAATAAGGAAATAAACGAGCCAAATTTTTCCGCAGCCTACATGTCTATTGAAAATATAGACCTGCTCCTTCAAAATAGATTTTGTACATTTAACAGTTTTCCAACAAGGGCCATGTATGTCACCCACACCATTGCACACAACAGCTTCTTGCTAAGGAAGAGCAGCAAAGAGAAGGGAAACAACCATGGATTACAGTAAGGCGCACATTACAGTATTGTTTTATGTTAAAAAATCTGAGGGTTTAATGTCACTTTAAGCCAATAAAGCAGCATTATTTCAAGTGTATTCACAGCGTTTTGACATAGTTGAACCTGAACAGTGGCGTCGCTACAGGGGGGCAAGGGGGGGCAATTGCCCCCCCTAGATTTTCACTTGCCCCCAGATACGCTATTAGCGTAGCGGGAGTGATGCAAAATGCGCAGCCGACTTCCTCGCTATGCTAATAGCGTATCTTCTCAGAAGCTCCACACAGCGTGCCAGTTTAAGTAGTAACCAGCACATGCTGTATGCAGCTTCTGTCGCAACTGCAGGGCGCAGATGCCATCCGCAATTAAATCAGCTCTCGGCGCCCATCGGTTGCGACATGCAATGAAAGTTATTAGTGCCCCCCCAGATCTGACTGTGGTATCTTATGTGCCCCCCCTAAATATTGTTCCTAGAGTCGCCACTGAACCTGAATATAGGAGCAGAGCATAGAGAAGTATGACACAAGAGAATGGCTGTAGATTGTCTAAAGGGATGCAATAAAAGTGTTAGCTCTTCCCCCAACATGGTTAGGTAATTATATATTCTGCTCCATGGAGGAGCATAGGGCCAAAATGAAAGACTTCCACTGTTGACGGTTCCCAGTGTTTGATTTGACCTGCAGCCTTGATATCATCATGTAGGCTTTGCCACCAGGCAGGGGCGTCCCGAGGCCAGGTGTCACCCAGTCTCTAGACCGGGTGACACACCACCGTGTCGTCATAGCTCGTGCGCGTGACGTCATCGCGCATGAGCGACCATCTGATTGATACCTGCCGGCGGTCATCTTGGTAGTGGACGCCGGCAGAGAGAGGAGCGGACGATCACCTGGCAAGGATGAGTTATGCCATCGGGTCCCCTCCTCTCTCCTGACACTGTCGGGCTCACGGTCCATGACCGAGTGCCCGACTTTTTAGAGGGGGGTGACACCCGGATGCGGGCCGCACCCCTCTTGTGACGCCACTGCCACCATGAGCCTCTGGGTCTGCCTCTTCTGCGCTGTCCTTGGGGATTCCAATTGAGCGCCTGTCTACAGAATTCATTTGCGCCCTTTCGTATGGTATGTCCAATTCATCTCCCTTTATGTTCTCGGATCTCTGTTGTAACCCGTCGTTGGATGGAAAACATGTAGAGTAAAGTGGAAAAGAAACTGGAAGAGATGGTGAAGGAAAAAGTGGAGCAAGGCAAGAAAAGAAAACCAAAACTAGCATACACTCGGCCCAGAATAAGGAAGTGATGGCTTTGTTGAGAAGCGCTTCACATAGGTTTTTATGGAAATGTGTTGGCATCAGCATACGGATAAGGCTATAGACCCGTATCCATAGGTGAGGAATGATCGGCAGGTCCACCAAACGTGCTCCGTGCCATAATTTCTGACTCTGTTCATGCCCCCCTGGGGTGTTTCTGCCACAATCTGGGTCTTCTGGTTCTTCCTGCTTCATTCTCCATAATAATACTGTACAGCAAATAAAAAAATACAGCATGGAGAGTAGAGATCCTCATAATGGTCGCAGCATCTGAAGTGCAGATATCTAACCAATAGAGGCCCCAAGAAATAGAAGAAATGGTCACACTGAGTGGTGATATCTTACCAGTTTTTCTTTTTTTGGCAAGATGAGAAGACTGGAGCCAGACTTGACGCATTCTTTCCTTGACTCATCCCAGGTCTTATGGGATGTGGAGAGATAATAACAGGTGGGGCCCACACGGGTCCAACCAGCTGGACAGGAAGTGCATAGACCTGTATAGAAGACAAAGCAAAGGGTAAGGGATCTGGGTACCCTTGAAATATTATTGCTCAATGCTCAGGTATATTACTGAGGAGAGAACATTGTTAAACTAAGGAACTGAGAAGTAAAACATGTGTGGTATAAATGATTCACATGACCAGGGGCATAACTAGAAATCACAGGGCCCCATAGCAAAATTTTGTATGGGGCCCCGTGATTCTACCCCTTGCAGAGCCCACTTGAGATCCCACACAGCCCACCTGAGGGTGACGCCGCGGAGCCCACCATAGACTCTTTATGGTGGGCTCTGCAGGGTCACCCTCAGATGGGCTGGTCGCACTCTTTACTTGTCTGCCTCCTCTTCCTGCACAATCGCTGATGAGCCCCGCCTCCTCCTCCGTTGCTGGGCCCGCCTTCTTCTCAGTCAGCGGGCCCCGCCTCCTCCCCTGCTGCCGACCACGGGCCCCTCCTCCACTGCCGGGTCCAGCCTGCTCCACCGCCGCTGCTGGCTCTCATTGACTCTGTGGAGAGGAACGCTCTGCTGCACAGATTACTGTCAGTGATCTGAACAGCGGCGCATTCTTCTTCAGAGCCGCCAGTGAAAGCCACCAGCAGAGGATGCCATAGCGACCCAGGGGGCCCGCACGGCATCTGGCCGGGCCCCCCTGTACCACGGGCCCCATATCGGCCGCCTGGGTCGCTATGGTGATTGTTACGCCACTGCACATGACAACACACTGTAATTCTGCGCTTCTAAACAGAGTGAACAAAATGAACTTTTTTGTAAATCTTCTTTAGAAGTTGAATGTATTTTCAAATGTCATCTTGTAATACCTCATTATGGCCACTAGATGGAGCTGAGGAACACAGGGAATATGTATTTCCTATACTCCATCTAGTGGCCATAATGTGGTATTACAAGATGACTTTCGAAAATACATTTGGCTTATAAGAATCTCTACAAGAATGTTCATTTTGTTCATCCATTCGAACAGTATGAACAGCCACAGAGGTTCACAGGGCCAGTGGCTCTGCAAAATGTTTACAAATAGACCCCTAAGGGTATCAAGAGACTAGATATTAGTTTTCATTGACTTGTGCTGCTTGTTTGAAAGAGGTTTAGCGTGAAATAGCGGTCACATGTATCAGACTTTTTTAAGGTGCTCCCTGTGACAGACTCCATGATACCACGACTGGATATCTCCGTCTTAAGCCTGTTATCTGGGTGCTGGAACCAGAAGCAATTGAATATAGCATGGGCTTACCCCAAGAATCAGACAGCACTGACTTTGGAGTGGAAACATGAACTGGTTTATTGAAGAAAGCACACAGAGTTTATACCTCACAGAGTTAGATAAGAGTTCAGTGTGTTACCTTGGCCAATCCCCTCCCTCAGACAGCGGGGTGCCGCATTGGAATTCCTTAAGCACAGACACTTTTTGAAATTAATGTCCTTAATTAGATAAGAGCTTGATCACATCAACCTAAACAATGGCCACTCCAGAGAGCCTGCTGCCTTCACAAAATTACGTTTATCAGAGATGGTATCCAAACAAGATGGAAGTCCGGATGGTTCAAATCAAGTCAAATAGTGACAAGCTCTCTCTCTAGATAAAATAATAAACCCGGAAAATACACACAGCAAACAAAGTTCACCAGGGGAATAAATCTCTGCAGCCCTAGGTCCCTCACACTCCCATTCAAGTCTAGCGCATTGAAGCAACACAACACTCTGGTTCCATTCACACCTGAGTATTTTTTTGCTCGTTTCCCCCACTCAAGACAATGTTCAAACAAGTAGAATCCCATTGTTTTCAATGGCGCCCATTTATATGTGAGCGTTGTGTTGCTTGTAGCTTGACGCCTGCCGCTCGAAAAAGTACATGCGTTTTTTTTTTAAGCTGGAATCATGCCCCATAGACTTCGATTGGAGAACCTGAAAAATGTGTGTAACGTGTGTTTTTTGGTAAGATTTCAAGCCTAAGGGGCCGTTCACACCAGATGCAGTGCGTTCCGGCCCGATTCTGGCCAGAACGCGCTGCCTCGCATTGCGGCCAGCTCAAATTTTTTGTGGGGCGGGAGGGAGCGAGGCGGGCCATTGAAGTGAATGGACCTATAGCCACGCAATGCGATCGGCCGCACGGGATCGCAAGGCACATTATGCCTGCGGTCCGGTCTGGTCCGCTGCAATGAAAATAGTGCTTGCAGCATTTTGATCGCAAAGGCATAATGTGCCTTGCGATCCCGCGTGGCCTGATCGCATTGCGGCCCGGAGGGCGTGGCTACGGTGCCATTCACTTCAATGGCCCCCCACACCCCCTCCTGCTCCTCAAAAAAGTGAGCAGGCCGCAATGAGAGGCAGTGCGTTCTGACCATAATCGGGCCGGAACGCACTGCATCTGGTGTGAACGGGCCCTAACATCGGTGTTCTCCTCCTAGTAACAAGCTTTCCATTGGCTAAGACAAAAATCCTCAAGCCTGAAAACCATCAAAAAATGGGGGGAAAAAACTCACAAAAAACACTTTAATATCACCTGAAAATGCTCACGATCAGGGTGTGAATTGGCACCATTGGAAATAATGGGATTCTCCATGTTAAGCGTCGTCGCGCAGAAACGCGCCCGCGAATATGTGCAGTTTTTATGCTTGTCACCTAAAAGGATTCGTTTGGAGGATTTCGAGTGCTGGAAATATTTTTTTGCATTTTATATTTCACTTTTGGAAGGAAGGTCAACCATAGCCATGGAGGATGAGATGCAGTCACTAGGGGTGAGCTGTGACTTCATTTATAAAAAGTCCCTCAACGTCCTACAGACTCAGAGAAGAATTCTGCCAATGATGTGTGTATGGCCCAACTCAGATTCTGGAATCTAGTCACGTAGGCATGGCTTACTCTTTTCTTAGGACTTACCCATTTCTCTTTTCAGGGTCAGAATTTCGGATTTGAGGCCGTTTATTTCCTTTCCTGAACGAAAAATTAGATCAAGTTAATACAAATAGATTGTAGCGCTCACCCACGAAGGAGCCGCTGAATATGAACTAGGGCTCTCCTACCTGTTTTGCCAGCCACCGGCCGCCCTTTCTCAGCTCCAGCAACACCGACACTCCAGGATAGAAACAGGCTCGAGACGTAGGGTCTGTTTAGCATTTATTGCACATCATCAACTAGGAGAGAGGGTTGGGGTTGCAGGATACCTGAGTAACCATTTAGAGGACTCTGTCTTCTCCCTTAGCAACAGCTTGTATCAGTAGAACAACGGTCTGTATGAGCGACCAGCAATAAGTAATAGCACAGAGAACATCCAGGACATTGAAGGAGAACTGTCACTGGACTTGTAGTGCACCAGCTGGCTTCTCTTCAGTAAAGTACCTGAGAATAGGGTGAGGGATCTCTTACAGGGTTCCAGGCGGTAGCTCTCACCAGCAACTCTGCGACACTCCATAATAAGCAGCTTCCATCAGGTTCCTTTCCAGTAGCATCTAAGGTCTCTGGGCCCCCAGCATCTGCCACATGCAGAGGCTCAGACCAGGCATCCTGTAGTATCTTAGGCCTCTAGATCTCCAGCATCTGCCACATGCTGAGGCCTAAACCAGGCGTCTGCAGTATCTTAGGCCTCTAGGCCCCCAGCATCTGCCACATGCTGAGGCCTAGGCCAGGCATCCTGTATCACACAGACCTCCTCCCAGGGAGGGCCCGAGGGGAGAGAGAGAATTCTGGAAGGTGTCCCCAAACCTTTATCACCTTCCTCCAGCCATACCTCTGAGTCAGCCTGCTCAGGGATTGGTCAGAGTCAGGTGAATAGTCACAGTCTGAGGATGAACCCTCCCTCACTGTATGCTGAGGCCCCAACCCAGCAACAGCGGGAAGCAATCAATCCACCAGACTCAGGGAAACCAGCAGAACTCAGAGAAATCAGCATCCAGACTGATTACAGTTCAGATATACACTAAATTTAGTAGCGACATAGCAGTGGGCGCTACAAGATAATTCACAGCCCCACCAAATCCCAGATCCTACTCCATAGGGCCCAGTCCCCACCAGCCAAAAGAACATGTGCATAAGTAGGGCAACCACTCAAGGGGCGTTTTTTTTGTTTTGAAGTCCGCAGTGCGTGCATCATAATACGACTTCCCCTGTGAACAAAACATGTGAATTGTGAAATCACAACACACAAAAAAAGTAGACGAGGGTGCTTTGGTCCTCCTCCAAAGAGGAAGGGCCTCGAAATTCCTGAACCCCAACCCCCCCTCCCCCCTGGGGTGCAGGAATGGGCCCACCTGGTATTCCTGCCACAGGAATTCCAGAATGCCCCATGTGAATGCAGCCTTACAAATGCCCATTCCTGACCTTTTCTTTACGTCCGTAATTCTAGGGCCATTAATCACTGATAACACTAAACTGATGAGCAGTAAAAGCTTTGCAAGCGTCGTCTATGGAGAATTTTGGGTGTGGTCGTTTTCTGCGATTTCGCGGGCGCGCACAATTTTAAGGCTTGACATGTTTGGTGTCTATTTTTACTAAAAATTTGGGGTGACAATAAAAGTTTCATAACATTTCATAGGGAAACAGGTTTTTTTTTTGTCAAAATGTTTGGGTACTTTTTTTGTTATATAGTAAAAAAAAATAACCCCCCAGTGGTGATTAAATAGCACCAAAAGAAAGCTCTATCTGTCCCCAAAAAATGGTATAAAATTTGTTTCAGTACAGCGTTGCATGACGGAATAAATGTCAAAGTACCGCAGCGCTGAATACTAAAAACAATGTCTGGGACAGGAAGAGGGTTTAACACCTGGTCAGCAAGTGGTTGAAGCATGCATTCAATGTCAAAATGCACTGGACCCTCTGATAGGCAAATAGCAACCAGATCCCATATAGTGGTAAACTGGCCCTGGCAGCAAATTTGGGCAAGCCTGCCCTTCCCCCCTTTACTGTGCCCTGTTATACTACCCAGAAATAAAACATTTCTGCAGAGTCAGCGGGATAAATGGGAATTATCCTAAAGAGGATCCACTTAGAGCTGCAGGGGGGAAGTTAAATATCTGTTGCACAATGATGTGAAGTTTAATTTGAGCATTGAGGTGGAGGATCTGGCAGATGCTACAACTTCTACTTCCCCGTTTCCCAAGGCCATGTGCCTTCCAAGTTCTTTCCCAAATACATTCTCATGTGAACAATTACATATTGTCCACCGTTAGTGATCCCTCACACCCTTGGATGTGAACTCATAAATTTATGTAAGATTAAATAGCACTTGGATGGTCCCTTTAAAGGAGAACTATGGGGTCAGGGCTTTTCCCCATAGTTCTCAGGAGAACACAAACTAGCGTCCACCCGTCACCCAAAGCTCAGTATACCGCAAGCTACAGCTCACTATATACTGAGATCGCCGCAGCCGGGATGGATCCCGACATTACTGAGTTCTTAAGTCTGATAAGCGGAGGGATATTTTTGTTGCTGGGTTTGGGTATCCTGTACCCCTTACTCTCTCTCCCTAAGACAACTGAGCCAATAAATTGCAAGAGAAGGATTGAAGGGACTGAAGTCTGTAACCATCGGTAGGTCGGTGGGTGTCTTGGTGCAGCTATAGGGTAGGTCACCAGTAGGTAGAGCCCTTTAAAAACCAAACAGCTCCTAAGTGGATTATTGCTACATGTACAAGATCCGACTTTGAAATAATGGAAGTGAAAGATAATAGTCATTTACTTACCAAACGTTTGGTTCACTCGTCTCAGGTCTTCAGCCCTGTTATTTCTGTCTGTCCCGGCGGTCTCCTGGATTGCAGACACTATGAAGTCACAAAATCACAAAAGTTAAAAATTGCAGCAAGTCATTTATTTCATAAATCCCTGAGAAACATGAACACATCTACTTCAGAGAGCTCTGATACAGTGATGATGTCATATTGATGATGTCATATTGAGGTGGTCATGTACTAGGGCCGTAGTGCTTTGTTCCTCTAGTAGGAATTCCCATTTTTCACACTTGACACTCCATACTTCTATGATTGTATTTCCTCGGGCGTGTGTAGACAATAATTTTTTGCTTTGGGGTTCCGTTCAAATGAATGGCAACGCAGCTCCCTCACCAGAACGCCTGGTAGGTGCGATTGCATAGTACATGGGACTGTGCGATTAACGCACTGTACTAGTGTGAACGGGCCCCCAAAAACACTGACAGACACACACAACCACAGACACAATCTCCCACACTCATAGACATTCTCACATACACATTCCAAAATTATTATTTTTTCTCTATTTTTTTTTTTTAGATCCACCCAATCTCCATACATTACAAAAACTGGAGTGGATCCTCAGCCTGGGGTCTAGTATGGGCTGCTGTGCTGTGTGCAGAGCTCCATCCATATGTGCATTGCTTGTACAGCTCCCTTGTGTGCCTTGTAGAGGTGCCGGGAGCCAGAATGTGATGTCACTCCGGTCCAGGCACCTTTACAGGACACACGAGGGAGCTGTAAGCAATGCACTTATGGATGGAGCTCCCTCGTGGCCATAGCCCCAGCCCACCGCACCTCAAGCTGACACTCGGCGTTAGGCAGCATATTTTGAATGACTGCTTGGTGCAAGAACTGACAGTGCTGTGCTAGGAGGAGGCTGAGGAGCCTCTTACCTAGTGCACTGTAAGGCATGCGGCGACCCAGATTGGAGACTGCTGCCATCACATATTGATGAAGCAGCCTGTCTAGGAACGCATTGCAAAGAGAAGCATAGAGTCTGAGTAATGCTACAATAGGGAATGTACTGAAAACCAGTGGAGTAACAACCAGGGGGGCAGCCGGTGCACTGGCCCCCGGGCGTAGAGCTGAGGGGGGGGCGCCGGCCGAAAATTGCACTTTTGGCTAAATGCCGAAAGTGCCATTTTCCTCTCAATATATCGGCGCAACCGTGATTTCTTTTCTCCCCGCTGGGTGCTGCTCTGTGTCCCAGCGGGGAGGAGAGAAAGTGACAGCCGGCCAAGCGCTGCGGAAGGAGAGCGCTGTGAGCGGCCGGTGTCTCTCCTCCCACACCGCTCAGCCTCCTATCACAGTCTGGCAGAGCTGTGTGGGGGTGGAGACAGCGCTGTCACAGGAGGCTGAGCTCTCCTCCCTGCTCCGCTCGCTCAGTCTCCTGTGTCAGTGAGTCAGGATGGAGAGCGGGTGCAAACACTCAGCGATCAGTGATTGCTGAGTGTTTGTAGATAATTGAGGACATGGTATGGTTGCTATATCCTCAATTATGAATAAATGGGAAGTGATCTACATCACTTCCTGTTCATTCATGATTGTGGTTATAGTAAACATACTATGTTATCATTGAACACTCATAAAGGATTCCTGTTCATTGATAACAGGGGATACAGAAAAAGAGATTGAGGACTTTGTGTCCTCAATCTCTTTTTCTATTTTAAAAGGGAAATATCAGGGGTCTGTTTAGACCTCCAAAATTTCCCCAAATAAGGTACACAATCTCCCTCCGGTGTCAGAATGCGGAAGTGGTGTATATTACATCACTTCCGCATTCTTGTGTCACTCTCCAACTTCAGACGCTGGAGAGAAGCTGATGAAGCAGATCTCTGGCTTCCTCAGCTTTTTTGGGGGTCCCTAGGTGACATTAGGGGTCTTGGAGACTCCTGATGTCTCCATAAAGAGGACCTGTCACATATCTTTGCTATCACATAGGGGGGTTTTCTTATCCCCCTATGTGATAACAATGAAGTTAAGTCAAAAAAAAAAATTGTAAAAAAAAATTGAAGTTGCAAAAAAAAATTTAAAGAATAAAAAAAACACAATTTTTTTTTTAAGTCCCCACCCATACATACACACATGCAAACATGCGCATACGTGCGGAAACAACTATTGCGCCCAATATGTCGCACATGTTACATGTCGCAGTGAGAGCAATAATTCTCGGGCCATCAATCACTGATGACACTAAACTGATGAGCGGTAAAAGCTTTTACAACGTCGCCTATGGCCAATTTTGGGTATTGTAGTTTTTTGCGATTTCGTCGGTGCGCGCAATTTTAAAGCTCTACATGTTTGGTGTCTATTTACCCGACGTGACCCCGTCTTTTATATTTTACCATAAAATTGGGTAATAATAATTGTATTATAGCATAATGTTAAAAAAAACTTTTTTTTTTCAAAATTTTCAGTAATTTTTCCTTAATATAGTAATAAATAAAAATCAGCCCCCCCCACACCCGGTGGTGATTAAATAGCTCCAAAAGAAAGCTCTATCTGTCCCCCAAAAATGGTATAAAATTAATTTCAGTACAGCGTTGCATGACGGAATAAACGTCAGTCAAAGTACCGCAGCGCAGAATACTGAAAAATGGCCGGGACAAGAAGGGGGTGTAACACCGCGGTCAGCAAGTGGTAAAGGAATAAACAAATGCAATAAATGATATTTTTCATAGCTGCCTGGAGGCGGAGCTCAACTTTGTGTTTTCTATATCAGCCGTGTAGTTTTTATAGGACACTGTAGTCTTAGTTACCGTTCAGTTTTATGTCTGACATTTGATTGGAGATAATGTTATCTGAAATGAGATCATAATATATAGAAATCCATTATTAATGGCCGTATTCATTTTTAAACACAGATAATATCATATCACAAATCATTATTAAGTCCCGTCCAGTGTGTATGCTTCACTACATTTATTTTGGCAAGGGAGATTTCCGATTTCTCAAGGAACAATGGTTACAAGTCCTAAGAGGGATGATGCCTCCTGGCTTATCTCTCTCCTCACCGGCGCACATTCGCATAGCTCTCCCATCCCACCTCTACCTGCTTCCTCAGTCCCAGAAGATGGAATGGCCGCAGGACTTTTGGCACTGCTGCTAAATCTCCTGGCAGTGCACCTTGCCTGCACATTCCTGGTCCCTGGTCCTACCAGAACTAGACCAGCACCCACATGGCACCCAACTGAGTCTTAGCAACCAATGACCGATGCCCCTCCTATGAGAGAAAGAGCTAGATGGTGAAGGCATGCTGGGAGTTTCCACTACAAGAGGAGCCAATTGAGCACCCCAGTAGCCCTCTAAGTGTTTGATTTCCAGAAGATCGTTGCATTTTTTTCTTTTTTAGAGTAAAGTTTAAGAATTCATCTAACAGAACCCAATTGGACAACTTTATTATGTGATGTGGTGCTGAAGGGAGAAAGAGAGAGTGTTCTGAACTTATGTGGGCTCTGTTCTCACAGGGAGGACTGGGATCCCCGGTATATGCTCTGTCCTAAGAAAAGATAAATTGAGTGCTGAAGGCTGCACCCAATGCCTAGGGTCATTGGGAGAAGGAATACCTAAAATGAGTGTAGAGGGAGCCAGAGGAAGGCAGCCTATGGCCTGAGGAGCCTGTTCTGGGAGAAGGAGCTCACTTGCAGGGACTGTGCCTGTATTTAAAGGCTAAGTTGAGAGTCATAATGGTGGACCTTCGTCCATTTACAACTGGGAAGAACCATGTGCTATGCATGAGAGCAAACTTGCCTTACACTTGGTTGGCTGTCCAATTTGTACCACTCCTGATAAACCGAGCACAGTGGACCAACTGTCCAAAAAACCCAGTCGTGAATAAATACTACCAAAAGAAAGTTCTATCTGTCCCCAAAAAATGGTATAAAATGTATTTCAGTACAGCGTTGCATGACGGAATAAACGTCATTCAAAGTACCGCAGCGCTGAATACTGAAAAATGGCCGGGACAGGAAGGGGGTGTAACACCGCGGGCAGCAAGTGGTTAAGGAATAAACAAATGCAATTAATTATCTTTTCCATAGCTGCCTGGAGGCGGAGCTCAACTTTGTGTTTTCTATATCAGCCGTGTAGTTTTTATAGGACACTGTAGTCTTAGTTACCGTTCAGTTTTATGTCTGACATTTGATTGGAGATAATGTTATCTGAAATGAGATCATAATATATAGAAATCCATTATTAATGGCCGTATTCATTTTTAAACACAGATAATATCATATCACAAATCATTATTAAGTCCCGTCCAGTGTGTATGCTTCACTACATTTATTTTGGCAAGGAAGATTTTTGATTTCTCAAGGAACAATGGTTACACTTCCCTTACACTTGGTTGGCTGTCCAATTTGTACCGCTCCTGATAAACCGAGCACAGTGGACCAACTGTCCAAGTGACATCTGCGCTCTCCCAGTGTAAAATGCAGCGCCAACCCCATTCTGCTCTTTACACTTTCATGTTAATGTTATGTTTAAATTGTAGAAAAACCCTTTGGCACTTCCCCTTGTCCTTGTCCCAGCATTGAGTTCAATATATAAATGGTTTTTGAATACCAGCTTCTGTACTCATTACAAATAGCAGTTTATTTTATTTTTAATCTAGAGGGTTCTGACTCCCACATTAAAATTGTGAGCACAGTAAGAATAAGATACAGAACTCCGTGCCCAGAACAATACTCACAATAGGTGAACATGATGCCGATTATAAGTATGACCATCAGAAAGAGGAGGATGAGGCACATCACCAAGACTAATTTCTTCCAAACCAAGCCATGGTAACTTTTACTGCTTGGTTCATCTGAGACACAAAAAGATGAAATGTCGGGATTAGTAATACATTGACCACGAATGTGTAATAACCATAAAAGGACAGATCTCCATCAGCTAAAATCCTTTACATCTCTTCTTTGCTTCCTCCTTGCAGATCCTCACATCCCTACCTTGTACCTACCAACCTAGAAGAACAGCTCTTCCTCCTCCCATGCAGCTGCCCTATATGGCCAAGAGTTTGTGGACACCTGACCATCACACCTATGTGAGCTTGTTGGACATCCCATTCCAAAACCATGGCCTATGATATGGAGATGGGCCCTCTTTGCAGCTATTCCAACCTTCACGTTTCTAGTAAGGTTTTCCTCCAGATTTTGGAGGGTGATCTTTGCAGGGCCAGATTAAGAGCATCATGTGCCTAGTGCTGTTGGATGGGAAGCAGCAGAGGCAGCTCTCTAATTAGGCGGCTGCTCGCTGGGGCCCAAAGCAGCTTAGAAAGCCACTGGCGCTTCTGCCTGATTGTGTTCGGGCGCGGCCGACCCGGATTGCCATCGGGCATACCCAGGCGACCTGGGCCAGCCGGGCCTATTTTCAGTGGGGCTCCAGTAGCCCCTATGTTAATCTAGTCCTGTGTCTTTGGGAATTTGGGCCGATTCAGCCATAAGAGTATTCGTGAGGTCAGGTACTGATGTTGCATGAGAAGACAATGTCTATGTGTGATGGTCAGCAGTCCACAAACCTTTAGCCATGTGTCAGGACCTGATACAGACACTTTAGTGAGGGTGTATAGTGGCAACTAGTGTATAGTTGCTTCACCTCTTGCAGCCACCCTTTCCTTAAGGTTAGTGAGCCTACCGGTAATTGGATGTCCCCAAGACGTAAACTATACACTCTAGCTATAAATGTCGCAGGCGGCCAGGAACAAAGGAGTGACAAAAAGATATAAACAGAATTCAAAATAGCAGACAGGATCTGGATACAAAATATAAGAGAGGAACTGGATAAAAGGCAAGTACAGGACACAAGATACAAGACGGTACAGGATTCAGGAAATAAGACAGGTACAGGATTCACGGCAAGGCTAGGATGCAAGACACAAGATCAAGATATAATAGGCAAGAAAATGGCTTGTGCAGACAGGACTAGACTGAACTATCACAAGCCCGGAGCCCTGGGCTTGTAATGCTTAAAGTGCCACTAGCCAGCCCCTAGGCTGTGAGGGGCATGTAGCCAGGCTGATTGCCTGATCAGCCCACAGCTGACTGAGGGTATGTGGCCACAAGCAACCACCAGAGGAAGCTGAGAGGTTGTGGTGTTCTATCGAATTCTCCAACTCGTCAAGAACTCCTATCAGTGCGCCTGCGCAGTCACCCAAGAGAAGCATTAAGCTGTACAATCTGCGGCAGTGCGCCTGTGTGGGGAGTTGGAGAACTCGATTACAATTTCCAAGCCGAACAGGTGCACCTATGACAAGTGGAGAAGTCAACGAGCATTGCAAAAACTTTGACGACTGGCGCACGCGCACTAGCTCCATCTAGTCAGAACCTACAACGGATATGACGTCATGAGTTGGAGATCTCGACGAGTTGGCCACCTAGACAGGACAGTGGCAGGCATAGGAGCCTTAGACATGCTCCTAACACCACGTAATGTTTAATGACCTCCAGCCATAATGGCACACACTGCACTATGACCAATGTGGTGAGAAACCATTACAGGAAACATAATCACACACCTATAGAGACTTGCTCAGAGCTGTGAGTGTGTCAGTGATTTTATTACGGCCCCTAAAAAAACACAAATGATCCCAAAGCGTTTTTTTGTGTTGTAGTATTTTCAAACCATGAAAAACAAGTTTGGTGAACCTATCTAAATCAGTTTTACAATTTTAAGGTGCTATCATCCCAAAAAAGGTTAAAACTGTCAATAAGAAACTGGGGGGGCTTTGAATGTGTCACCCAAGAAAGATCTACTACACTAAAAGATTTGTATAAAAAATAAACACATTCTATGGTTGCAAAATATTACAATTCAATACAGATATTAAATACAAACCGATATACAATATATACAGGATAGTCTTTCAACATCTTACATTTATTATCCCTTTAGAAAATTGACACATTGAATGGATTATATATGGGGATATTAACCAAGCTGCCGAAGTAAGCCGAGTGAATAACCGAGCCGAAGTGGACTGAGCCAAACGCTGTTCGGCTATTCACTTCGGCCCTGTACGGCTGATTTCAGCCATATCGGACTATAAATCACCCGTACATCGGCTGGCTTTGGCTGACTTCGGTTCAGCCAAACATCCTCAGCATGTTCGGCTGAGCTGTAATGAAGGAGCCGTACGACTCAGTCGATCCAACATCTGGATCGGCTGAGCCGAACCTCCGGCAGTATTCTCATAGGGGCCGAACGGCAGTAAGTGAATAGCTGAATGCCGCCCGGCTCCGCCCAGTTGTTTACATTTGCAGGGAGAATGGTCTGCTTCGGCAGACCGTTCTCCCCGCTTTGGCTCAGCCAAGCCGAACCATATGCGTTTGGCTCCGCTGAGCCGTTCGACTGCCTTCGACTGCTGTGCGGGTTATCGTGAATAGCCTGTATAGCAGCCCTCGGTTTGGCTGAACCGGAGGGCTCCGACGGCCGAAGTGAGCCGAAGGATTAGCCGATGCTTCAGCTTAATCCTTCGGCCCCATCTTGAAATACGCTCATAGTCTTCTTCAGAACCATTATAGAGAATAATTGCTCAACGTTTCACTTATATAGTTTGTATATGTTGTAGCAAAATGAGATACAGTTATATTGTTCCCCTAATGCAGAGGCAAAGCAGGTGCCTCGGAGGTCATTTATATAATGGAGTCTATGGGGGAAGTAATGCAAATATAACATATAAAAGATACTTTCGGGCTGTAATGAGTAGTCAGTTCAAAAATATTCCTGTCCTAGACTCCTGGTGAGCGCATGCTCGGTGTAAGGGCTTGTTTCCACCAGCCTGCGCATTAATGTCCCGTGCCCAGAACGCATATACGAAGTTTTCTTGCGTTCTGGGGCAGGAGGGGGTGTGGCAGCGCCATTCATGCATTATTTTTTGTGAGGCCACCGCACTGGAACGCAGGGCATTTTATTACCACGTGTTCCTGTGCGGTCGATCGTACCGCGGGCGGGGGGCGTGTCTGCAAGGCCATTGTCTTAAATGGCACTGACACGCCCCCTCCCACCCCAGAACGCAAGGAGACTTTATATATGCGATCCCTTGCGTTCTGGGCACGGGACATTGCGGTAGACGCGCGGGCTGGAGGAAACAAGACCTAAAGGAAGATCACATCAACATCATCTCCATGTGATGTTCCTTATACACTTAGCAATGCGCTCACCAGGAGTCCTGGGCAGGAATATGTCTAGATTGCCTACTAATTACAGCTTGAGGCTCTGTGCATACATTAGCGGTTTTCCGTGCAGAAAACCGAGCTGAATTCAAACTGCTATGTGTGAACGGAGCCTGAAAGTGTTTCTTATATTTGGAAGTACTATATACAGTGTATATAGGACATTTTGGAGAGGCTGCCTATTTTGGGCCTCTTTTGCCTCCCATCATTTTGTAATACTGCATTATGGCCACTAGATGGCGATAATGAGCATAGCAAACTAGTCTTTTGGCTAAATGCTTTTTGCTTTGTGTCTCACCTGGCAAATCCTTGAACGCAGAATTTACAGCGGGAGATGAGAAATCGAGCCCTAAAAAAAAAAAAGAATATAGAAAGCCTTATAAATAATGTTAATGTCCTGAATATATCTTACCCAATGCCAAAGCCATCTCACTGCATTCACCTACAAACAATGGACCTCATTTATCAGTGTCTTATATATTCAACTCTTTAGATCTGTTCTTGACTCTGACCAATTAACCTACCAATATGTTTTTGGATTGTAGGGGTAACCAGAGCTCCTCCACACAGACAGGGGAGACTATGGAGACTCCATGCAGTTACTGCCCTTAGCAACCTGTGACGCTCCGGCTGGCATCCCAAACCAGCACACTGACGTCACTGGTTGCCGGGAGCTGAGTGCGATGCCCTAGCTGGCGTCCTGCCCAGCTCCTGGCAACCATTGATGTTAGTGAAATGGGCAGGACGGCGGACCCAGAGGCAGCACCAGCACCCCCTAACCCCCCCCCAGAAAGGAGCGTCCACCTCAAGCATCACCACTCCTACAGCCCTATGGAAATGAGCATCCACCACCAGCACAACCCCAACCCCCGGCCCCACGCAGTAAATAGTGTAGGGTCATCCCTGTTTAAGGATAATGGGTAATTAGACGTGGAGGGGATTCTGGGGTGTGTTTGCCTAAAAAAAAAAAATATAATTTTATTGTATAATGTTGTATAATAAAAATGTATCTCTTGCATCCTGAATCCATTTCTTTTTTGCTTCAGTAATCCAAGACCGGTACTTACCTATATGAGGTGTTTGAAATGGCGGCGCTGGTCTTGTGCCTGACGAAGAAACATCAGAAATTCAGTAATATATATACTCAGACTTCAAGATTAAAGTGTATCTAAACCCAGGACCAAAAATATGATATATTGCAGATTTCCAGTCCTTAGATATGGTCGCTGCATTCGTTTTCTATATTTTCACTTGGTGATCCTGCTAGCAACACACTTCCTGTCTTAGGCCCGGTTCCCACCTAGGCGTTTTTCCGCGCTTTCGTACTCGCGGAAAAACGCTCAAATAGGGAAATGCCATTATTTTCAATGTGCATGGTACCCATCTGGGCGGTTTTCCGCGAGTACGAACGTGCGGAAAACCCGGTTCCATTTGGATACAGCCAAGTATCCCTCAGAAACGCGCGTTTTTCGCGCGGTTTTTTTACCGCGAATCGCGGTTTAAAAAACGCGCGAAAAACGTGCATATTCAATCCGCCTAGGTGTGAACCCAGCCTTAGGCTGGGTTCACACCTAGGCGGATTGAATATGCGCGTTTGTCGCGCAGTTCGCGTCGCGCGTTTTTACCGCGATTCGCGGT